ATCAACCGCGCTGACCCAGTGCGGATCGGTCGCATGCACGTACATATGAGTATCTGCGGATTGCATCACGATGTTTTTCATTGCCACAAAAACGTGGTTAACGAGCATATTAAATACGAAAATTGAAAAAAAACATTGTTTTATGGAAAGTTAGTCATTTAAAAGTAGCGTTTTCAAGTGTGCGTGCTAAAGATTTCTGGAAATTTCCAGCTTTGTAGTAAAAAAAAAATCGTTATTCTATTTGATACTTTTATAACACAATAATTGTAAGATAAAAAAAATGCCAAAGTCAATTTTAAAAGATGGGTTCAGTAGAAGCCGCAATTAATACTTTTAATAACCTGTCAATATTGTCTTTATGATAGGACAACGTCATCATAAGGACAACGCTGCGTCCTACAAACTAACCTTAATAAAGAGATAAATCGAAACTCTCGTAAGCTTTAGGTATAGTCATCACTATACAGTAAATTGAAGTTGATTTAGTAATCTCAAATTAAATAAAAACATGTTTACATAACATAACAAGACTTTAAATATATCTACGACTTTTTTCATTGACCGTAATAACGAAGAAAACGTTTATTTAAAGCCTATTGGTTATAAAATTATTATTAGCTACACTGAAAAATAAAGCCACGGGAATTTGAATGTTTCCATGGCAAATGAAATACCAAACGGTATGATAAAATGAACAGGGTATATTAGAGTAAATCGAAATATATATGAGAGACAGTCCATACAAAATATCATTACTTTATATCAGCATTCTACTTAAAAACAATGGACAATAGCCTAAAATCGATAAAGCGATTCTCTTGCATTAACACATGTATTTTTAAATAACATAATAAATACGGAATCTTATTGGTATCATTTCTATCTAATACAAACTGGCTTATATTTTTGTTGAACGCAGATTTAAAGAATATGCATAAATAACAGTGTTAATGTTATTTTAAATAGCAGCTCCAGCAGTCGGCATAACAAAATTCCGTATCGTAAGACGTACGTCTATAAAGAAAACCAGACTCGAACAGGAGTACTTAAATTCGGACATATTTACAAACAAATCTTTAAAAAATTTTAATTTACTTCAAAAATCATAACAAAAATAACGCTACGCTGAACACTATTGGTTAATACACCTTTGTTTAGAGCAACCGCACACCTAAAACTAAGATATCGCACAACTGTGTAATCTCGCTTTAATTTCTATGAGCTTGTATGGATGTGCGCTACTATTCAATTTTTATTTCTACAACTAAACAGTTGAATTGCCTGCGAAACATTCGACAATCGCACAACAGTTGTGACATAGTTTAGTCAAAGGTGCACACCTGCCTTTAGTAGAATTGAGATTGATGGATGGATGAAATACGTAAAAACTTGATGGGCATATTTTCAACGTAGTTTTTGTAAAAACAAATGTTTCCTTTCCGCCATACTTTACTAACCACTTCCCCTATAAAACTACTTCATTACATTAAAACATCAACTGAAAATACATCAAAGCGAACATTTTCCGAATTTTGAAACAATTTACATGTACCTTTTCTCTGTACAATGCATAACTTTTGTTTGCAAAACTATGAGAGCACTAGTATTCACTGACAGGAAGGACACAGTTCTAAACGAATCGGTATTAAGCTGAGTGAAAGTTATTGTCTATTTATAAAACTTTCCAGTAACAATTCAAATTTGATTTTAAACGAAAAGAAGTATGTGGTTGACGGTCAGTGTTTTATATTTTATATGACCTTTATAAAAAGCTAAAATACAAACAGTTGTTTTTTTGACCGACTTCTTGTTAAATTTCTTTCGCCATCAACTTTACCGAGAGTCCTTGATATATGCGGAAGATCTACTTTCAGTAAATACAATTTATAAATATATTTATATTCTCAAAAGACAGATACTTACAATTAAGCTGACGTATCCGTGAATGCTGTTGTAAGCGAGGATGACGTCTCGGAAACTGCCTTCACAATAATTGCACGTCGGTGGCTCCAAAGGCTTTGTTAAATTTAATTTATTTCTCCAACCGTCTACTAGTTTTATTAATGTACCAAAGTCCAAGCTATCATGACCCTTCGGCGAATGCTTATTTTGCTTTAAAACAGATAAAAACTGTGATATATCAATGTTACTTTTATTGTTATCTGATGTTTCAGACGCTTGAAGCACTTCTCCGAACAGATCCGAGAGAACTCGAGTGATATTAGAGGTGCTGTTTTCAACGGGCTGCATTTTGTTGTAGAATATGTTCGCCATTTAACTTTAATGATGTTGCAGAAAAATCTTTCTCTAAAATCTTGCCATAACAATGACACGTTATTCTCTGGAAAGATACATACAGTTTGAATTCCAATGAGGTATATTTCTCTTACTAGATATACTCGAGTTAGGATTTCCAGGAAATTTCCATCTAGAAACACAGAGATCAAATAACTAGTCAACGTTTGATTATTACATTGACTCTATGGTTGGCTGACTCTTGATTTGCACGATACACACATATTTGTAAAAAGAAATGCCTGTCAAATATTTTCACATGTCAATTACCTTCGAAATCAAAAACTCTACTGTGAAAGCTGTTATTTACAAGCAAATATTTTATTTTTGATTTGTAACACAAGGTTTAGAACTGATTGACTTTTTCTCTTAATTAATCAAAATCAAAAATTATGTACAAAAGAAAATTGTATCTTTATTTCTTTAGGGATTTTTGCCTATTAAGGACATATCCAGATAAAATATGTCTTGGAACAGAGATGATCGACAAAAAGCTTTTAGAATACTTTTAGCTATTTACGATTTTTTTAAACTTTTCCTAATTTTATAAGTGCAAAAGTTTGGATGGATATTTACCAGGTAACTATATAACTGTTAAATCGTATCTGGATGTTTAATACAAAGATATAACGTTGTCTGTGTCTGTGCGCACTTGTTTTACTACTACACGTGATTTTAACACTGAGATTTTCTTATTCCTTGCAGAAGAAATTCCGAACGGCTAGTGTGGTATACGACTCAATATAACATTCTAACGACAAGCCCTTATAGAATGGCCATTACCATAACAATATTATCACATTGTTTGCTCGGACGTCAGTAAAAAAATATTACACTCAGCTAACCGTAGGTGAAATTAAGTTAATTGGTTCATACGTAGATGTTATGAGGTCAGAGGGAACACATACACGTATTCGTACAAGATATGTATTTTATTAAATTAGTGGATATTTTGTAAATATTTTCAGTAAGTCGCAAAAGTTGTCCGGTGTTATTATTGCGTATGCTAACGCTAATTTGTTGGGTAAACAAACATCGACATGTAATTTCGGATACTGCTACAAAAGCGAATGTAGCTTCTACCATGAAACAATAGGATTTAAAACTACACGTAGCTAAAAATGTATACTTTTCACATTATAATTGCTATATACTTATTAGTTACGCTAATCCGATTTTAATCATAACCAAAAGCAAATATGCTAGAAAGTTAATAAAAATCTTGTTTGTTTTAAAAAACCTATAAAGCAACTTTAAAGCAAAAAAAAATATTAGATTCTACCACATTTATAATGTACTTTTCAATATTACTAACCTCTTACAATATTTTCACATGGAATTATTATCATACATTTACCCTCAATTTGTCATATCCTTGATAAATAATTTTATCCTTCATTTGCGAATAGATTTGATTTTTTAGGTTTCGGCACTAGACATGTTTTATAAATATAAAATCATGAAAACCTAATTATAGAATGTTTCACAATTTTCACAAACAAAAAGTTTAAATCAAAAGCGTTCTAACTGAGGAAAGCTCACCATTATCTTCAAGATTAATTTCAATGTTAACTAAAAATTTGATATGACTTAACTATTTCTGTTTTAATATTTCCGCGAGGAAAATTTACTAGAGTTCACAGTTCAATGAGCATAAATCCCAGAGCGTCCGGTGGCGCACTCTATCACGTCACGGAAGCTCGCGTCCAACTGAGACATTATTATGAAATTTATTACGTGCGGTCAAATAAAACATGAAAAAAAAATAAGCTTCCGTTTGTTCTACGAAAGCTTTATTGTATTATTCAACACTCTATTTTAAGTAGACAAAGAAAAGTTGTAAAACTATTTATTTATTTTTTAAAATAAAAATATACGGGCCAGAAAAACTCAGCGCAACCGGACTACAAACCTCGCGTAGGCCGAATGATGCTACTCGCTACTTTATCAGATATTTAAGTTTAGTTGTAGAAGATTTAAAATAAGAAGCTTTTTAATGCAAAGCTCCACATTTCAACGATAAATTAAGTAATTAATTATTTCAGATGGAGTTATTTATAGAGATTGTATTGATTTACTTCAAGTAGGAATACTCTATAAAATCTGCTGAAGGTAACCTGATTTCTGAACACATTTTTACTTTACTTTTACCTTACAAATTATTTAATATGTTAAAATATTGATGCTTATGTTGTCATAAAATAAAGTAATTTGGAACGCTGCGCACTGGTAGAAATTGATTTAAAACCGTTGAAAAGTTTACTAAGTATTTCGAATTGGATTTGCTCCGTTAAATTCGTACATCCATTAACAAATGTAAACATATTAAACAATTTCCGTGATTTATTTTTAAACCATTGAGATCAAATGATATGGGATATGTGTGATTATTTTGTAAGATATGAAAAAAAACATCAATTTACAGTGATCTAATACACATTAACAATCTACATTTTATTCAGATTAATTAAATTGTATGTATGTTAAGTAAGTCATTGTTCATAAACAAAATTCAATAAAACTGTCGCCTAAATATACTTTTAAAGCTTTATCATAAAAATTGAACATTTAATTAAATATAAAGTCTATAAACTCGTAGGACATCATTTCAACTAATTTTAAAAATATCTTCTTAACAATAAGCAAATAGCATTGTTTTTAGAAGTACGTACTCATGTATGTATACTTAGTAGGTACATATGGAGAATAATAAAAAATTAAAAACATTTGAAAAAAGCGATGATATCAAATACAAATACTAACAGAATCATTATCCACTCGAGTTATTCGGATTATTGGTTTTTGACATTAATTGATGTGTTACATTAAATTAAGGTCGCGCTAGTATATAATCTGATATCAGATTAAACGTTTTAGTCAACTATATCATTAATTAATACAATATTACATGTTTTCTCCCTTTCTTGTAAAAAAATATGCGTAATTATATCGCTTAATATTTTTTAATGCCTTACTTTTACTCTTGGTTAAACTACGTTACTATGACTATTAACGAGATTGTGAAAACTGCTGAACTGTCACCACCAAATCAGAAATGAATGAAATATTGTCTAATCACATTTACAATGGGACTTTTTTAATTACAACCCGGATCCGGAAATGGTTTCGTGTACTCGGTGACTTGAAAGCTACTTTTAGATCGTCGGACTTCCGCCCTTAGCAGACTTTTACAGCTTAACGATTTTAAACTTTTGGATTATCGAAGTAATTCACGGCTGAAAGAAGATTGAAATTTAAGCTTATCAGCCGCTGTAAAGCCTTTGATTAATTTCCCCGTACCTCTCATAATTTGAAAAACTGCTTTCATATTTTCGAGTTATTCTGATCACGATAGTCGAAAGATTGGATACCCCTCCTATCTACTGATCGTGGATTGAATCATAAATGACACGTAAAATTGTGTACGCCAATTGTTATGTCACATTTATAAATTTATTTTCTATTTATAGGTTTCGCCCGCGACCCAGTCTGCGTGGAATTAAAAAAAAACCAAAAGTGAGTAGCCTATGTGTTTTTCCAGACTGTCCTCTACGTCTGTACAAAATTATCGCGATTCATTTAGCCGTTTAGGCTACACACTCCAAACATCCATCCATCTAAACTTTCACATTTATAATATAATTTTAGTATGATTTATGATTTTTTTTTCTCATTGCGTGGTACTGTGAAGTACGCCGAATCTATGTTATATTTTGTAGCATAAGTATAACTAAGTACGAAAACCTTAGATGTTCTTGCAAAAAGGTCCTGTTATACTCGTTTTGTGGCATGAAGCTTTTTACCTATGAAATACATAAGCAGCAGTTTGGAATTGGAAAATAATAATTGTTTGTTACATTTTTTCTTACAAAAAATTTACTTGATGATAACAAATACTTTATTTATCATACTAATATTATGAATGCAAAAGTTTTGATGGATGGGAGGATGTTTGTTAGAGTTTGTATCCTAAACGGCTAAACGGATGATGATGAATTTTGGTATAGATGTTGAGAATAGTCTGGAAGAACACATAGGTTACTTACTTTTTTTTTTAAATTCCACGCGGTCGGAGTGGCGGGCGATCAACAAATCATTTTCCTTTTTTGAGATTACTCTATTTGTAGTCGTTTAGCTGAGCAACGCATTAATAGATGTACTCCCCGAAACTAAAACAAGATCTCGAGCCCAAGGACGCAAATGCGAATTAAGGAGATTTCAGTGTCGTTATCTTTAGTTAAGATTACAATAGTAATGAGATTTAGTATTACTACTATAGTTACTAACACAAAGCGATCAAAATACTATAATAAATCATTTAATTATAATTCACAAAGCAATAAATATAATAAAACATAATAAATCTCGTAACAATTGTAAAATAAGGAAGAAATCAAATTCCATGAAATGTTTCGGTATAAAGATGAATAGAAAAAAATATGTTGATTGAAATTTCTATTGAGTTTCATATTAGGTTATTTCATTTCGTAAGTATTATAAATTCTTTGAATAGAATTTTCAACATTAAATTAAATGCTGTGACAAATTGAATTTTTTCAGACATAACTGTTAGCTTATTTTCAAACTTAAATTTAGACGAAGTTATAACAAGAGACAAGAAAACATTCTTTTTCACTTTTTATTTAAAAAGTTATGGAACACGCACCTAGCCTAGACTGTACTATATTTGGTATTTGTAGGAAATATAATGGTGGGAACCAAGAATTCTTCTTTAATTTTTTCGAAACGAAAATTGATAAATTGCTTATTTACTAATAAATAAGTATATAATATATGTAATTGTATTCTATATCAATAAGAAGCAACTAGTTCAATATTCACAAACCACACCAGGAGAAGTAATTTAAGTGCGGACTGTTTGAAATATTGATCCTTCCCCGAACGTAACCATTAAACCGTAGCAAGACAAAGTAATTGTGTGGTTTGCCTCTAAC